TCGGCAGGAATCACTGCAGCTGGGCTTATTTTGTACGGCATGGTCGTTTCACAGCAGCTTACAATAGCTAGGCATTAAATTCATAAAGCTGTACCTGACTCTGTTCATCACTTATTTAGAGACGAAAAGAATTTCTTAGTCATACTGTAGATTGCATACACATTTTGTGAACTGAAATTGAAAGCATTTCTATGAGCTGTCCTCACAATCATTACATTTATGGAAATTATTAAGGGGGAAAATAATAAATATTTTGCTTTCAAAAAATTTTGTTTCTTGAAAACAAGAATTGTGCCATAAATTACCTTATAGGGAAAAGCTGGAAGGATTACGTTTCCGAGTCCATTTGCATTTACAGTGTTATCTGACTGCAAATGTTTATCTCTGTTGTATGGGTAGGATTTCTTAAGGTGATCGTATGCTATCCACTTAGCTTTTTAGGTCTGCTGATCTAATCTCCTGCTGTTGTTTTCCTTCCTGAATATTTGTCAAAATTGCCAGGTATATGCAGAGCTTACCTACCGCATCACAAAAATTTGCTCCTGTGAATTGTTGCATCATTGCATTCTAAAAGTGTTGCTTATCTGAAATGCGAATCGTATGAAATCACTACCAGAAATGCATAAAGCGCTTGGCAATACATTTTCTTCAAAATAATATCAATTTCAGTTTCAGTTCAATGTTTCACCGTTTATAAAATTCACCTCATAGTTTAAAAAAAAAAAAAAAAATGTTTAAAATAAGAATGAGAAGTGAAGTATCGAGTAATACTTTAAAATAAGAATGAGAAGTGAAGTATCGAGTAATACTTTACTTACACCTTCTTATTATTAAGACATGGAATTAGTTGATAGTTTGTAAATAAAATCTAGTTTATTTAAAAACTTTATATTACTCAACACTAATTAGAAACATAACTCTTTTTTTATTATTTTATTATCATAAGCAGGGCTGTGGAGTCGGAGTCATGGAGCCGGAATCGGAGTATTGGGATCTGCCGGAATCGGCAGATTTGGGGGTAAAAGGAATCGGAGCTGGAGTCGCTAAAAACAGGTCGACTCTAGTTTTTGGTAGACAGTTCGAATTTGAAATGAAATTAAAATGAATTGAAAAAAATTAATGACAAGCTGAGTTATTATTTTTATTTATGGAGTGTATACATTAATAAATAGTTATTTTCTATTCTATTGACATATTAATAAATAAATATAAGCGTGGAGGATGGATGTGATATATTCCGTTATTGATTAAATTGATTCATTTAGTTACTTCATTTAGTTACAAATCTCATTGGTAAATTTAGGTAAGCAGCAATAGCAGCAAGAACTTCCAAAATTGATGCCATTCTTAGAAAGCAAGCAGGAAATGAAGCAATTATTGATCAAGCAACGCGGTAAGGAAGTACATATTTGATGATAAAAAGGTTTTTAGAACTAAGAACTTTTTTAGAAGATGTAGATAATCCTAATGTTTCATCAACAGAAAGACTGTGGAATGATCTTGCAGAATTGGAAACTTTTCTTTCTACACCTTATATAGCCACAAAAAAGCTGCAATCTGAAGAATTGACAGGAGGCGAGAATGGAAAAATGGGATGTTTGTTCTTTCTGAAATGGAGGGTGTATTGCAGAAGGAATCTTCAGAAGGAATTCTTCAATGAAGAAAAGAGAAACTAGTTTTCTAGACAATGAGATCTTGATGAATACATGTAGATCCGAATCACCGAATTTTCTTGGATGACAAACAAATTAAAAAGGCAAAGAAAACCATATATGAGCTTTCATTAAGAATGAAATTATTCTCAGAACATCAAATTGGAGTATTCGAAATCACCATAGTCAAACTGCAGACATTGCAACTGAGTCTCTATCATCCTCTTCCAGTGATGAATTAGATTTTGAGAAATATTTTTGGATAATATCGAAAAGGCTAAGGCAAAGCGAATAAAAATAAAGAACCAAGAGCCTTTAGATATAAAAATGAAGAAATACAAACAAGTGTTCTACACAGCCTTTGAAGAAATAGAGAAATATGATTGCGCCTCTAAGACACCTCTTTAGAACTTGTAAAAATCTATCCTGAAAAGTTAAAAGAAGCCCTAACAGTAAGAGCTCTTCCTCCTACTCAAGTTAGTGTGGAAAGACTCTTCTCAGCTCTGAAATTTATCAAATCGGATCTATGGCCCTCCAACAAAGATCTTGCCGAAGCTATACTGTTTCTTAGAAATAACTAATGCCAGCTTTTCCATTTCATAATAAATACAAATTAATATAAATAATTTCCTATGACATCGATTTTTTTTTCTGTAGCATCTATTACTTCTTTTATATTAAAAAAGTAATCTGTAACCCATGTGTATATGTTTTTCCTTACCGACTGCTCAATCCTGATTATAATATGGGAAGTGTTAGCTATACATGCATCATAGTATATGTATACATCCGTTCTCATGCTTTCATTTGAAAATATCGTGCTGATCGTAGTGTATCCTGTGATCATACAGTGCTTCAGATTCACAAATCTGTGTCTTAACAATTACAAAATTTTCAAAAACAGCATATCTTTAGAATTCCCAATAGTAAATAAGTAAGAGTAAGAGTAAAGTAAGAGTTGCCATGCTTTTTTTTCCCCGGTCTTTTCTCATTTTATATACCAGTGTTTAGTTTTCTTGACAAGATGGCAGCTGTCTCAATTATTCTTTTAGCATTATTTTTTTAACATCTCTTTCTTCACCCATGCGGGACATGAAATTTGACAACAAATCATAAAATCTTGAAAAGCAGCATAACTTTAGGATTCTCAACATATTGTTAAGTGTTGCTATACATTTTTTTTAATATTCGCTGCACTATTTATATTTACTATGTTATTTCTTTAAAAATAAAATTTAACGATAACATTTGGTGGCAGCATCCTTTTATTTGAAAAGTGATTCGACACAATTAGTGACTAAATTGAGAAGCATTTTATTGCTTCATAATGAGCTTAATTACGTTGGCATAATTCAAGAATACATCTGAAGCTTAAAAGTATATGTTGTTCTCAATCACGTACATATTTTAAATACCAAATTTGAGAAATTTTGGATTATCTAATTTTGTATTTTTTGTATATTAATAATATTATAATCTCATACATAAAATACATAAAATATTTATAATCTTATAATATATTTGCATATATGTTATAAATCTGTGCAGAGCTTCAAATAAAGTATCACTTCCGTTTTATCAGTGTAAGTTAAAATTTAATATGTTATTTCCATCGATATTAAAAGTCTTAAATGCTAAGATTGGAAAGTTTCGGATCATATTTTAATATAGTTTTTCGTAACTGTTATGGACTTCAAAGTAAATACCACTTCCTGCTGTGTACTGCTATGTAAAGAACCACTTCCGATTGTCCAGTTTTACCCAAATCCCAGTCAGCTCTATATGAATGCAAAAAGCTTAAATACGGAAAACTCAAAACTTGGGAAGTTTTAAGAGTTAATGTGGAGGCAAAAATTATTGTGACAGACATTATTGTGAAAGTTGTAAAAACATGTTGTGAGGTTCCTAGTGCGTGTTTATTTATCGAAAGCTTATTATCGAATTTTTAGATAAAAAATATTACGTTCCTTGCCTTTGCGTATAGGATGGCAGGAGGTAAAAAGCTATTAAGAACGAAATAGTATGTTTTTTTAATATTGTAATGCCAAAAAGTGCAAAACTGATGTTACTAGACTTTATAGGTTAATCAAATATTAAAAGCTATATCAGGCTTGGAAACAGTATAAAAAATAGCAGCAATCAAAATTTTAGAAAGTGGGTTCAAAAAGAAGTAATCCACCAAGTTGCTCAAAAATTGAAGACATCGAATACGAAATACCTGGCTTAAAATCTTTTGCAAAAAAAGGGAGATGGAGGCTTTAAATTTACGAGCAAGGCCCTTCCATCCAAAACTGGGTGGAATCTTCTTAAAGGTAGTGAATTAGTTGTATTTTAGTTTGATCCCAACCAGAGTCGTAACACTAAGTATTATCACAGAACTCTCCGACTATATCTCTATCCATTTCAGGATAAAAACTACAGAAAATTCGCAAGAAAAAAAAGTAGTATGGCACCCTGCAGACGAGGAAGACAATGTTTTCTAGATGAGTTCTTTTTCAGAAAACTATATATATTTCCTTTTCGGTGCATTGAAAAAGGTTTAATCTATTCATCAAGGGCTTGGTTCAGCTGCCAATCAATAAGCAAAAGATATTCTCAACTATTTGAAGTATTGGAAAAATGATTTTTGGGAATAGATCGAATAATGCCTTTAATGTACTCCAAGATAGACGTATCAAAACAACGTCTTATAACATTATTAAATGCATATACGCCATTTAAAAAAAGGGCTTTACACTTAAGATTCTAACTCAGTTCTTTTTTTCATCGATTATTAAACTCAGTTTCTAAGGGGTCAGCATGGGTGAACAGAGCCAGAACGAAGCAATCTTCGTAAGATAGGCCGAAATGGGAATTATACAGCATTTTAAATATGTATATGGGAAGATAACTGATTAGTTAATATACCGATGTGAGTTTTAGTTTTGTGTGAAGTATAATAACTTTAAAAATTCTCAAATATACTGCATCATGTATACTGGGGGGCCCTTTAAACAATAAACTTCTGCGAATTGTTATACAGATGTTATTTTCAATAGCAGCAATGCTTTGCACACACAGAGAGAGAGAGAAATGTGTACAAAAAATTTATACAAAAATGTAATACAAAAAAAACAGTATATATATATATATATATATATATATAAACGCACAAAAAATAAGAATTAAAAATCTAAAAAATAAATTTAATTTAGTCTACACACTCTCTCCTCCGATAATCCGAAGCACTTGGAAGGCAGTCAACGGTTTCCACCATTTTGCGAAACCTCTTTATTTCCCGTTTGTTAGGCAAGTAGGCAACCTTGATATTCCACGATTTAACAAAAGTGTTTTTCTCTTCTTTTGCAGTGGCAGCGACGACGGCGAGGAGAGTTACACCTGTCTCGGCCATCTCTCGCGGCCAGAAAACAGGTAAGGCAACTAGAATCTCTATGCATCTGATGAATCTCTTAATAAATTCATTGTATTTTCTGCTGTTGGCCAAGAAATACGCTGCGCCTTCCTTTTCCGTAATGTTTGTTGTGTTACTTACGATGTGTGTTGCTTGGTTTCTTTTTCGCATATCCAGTTAGAGTCACGAGATGAGAGCTGAGTAAACATTCTTTTTTCCTATTCTCCGAAACAGGAATTAACTGGAAATTTATTCCATAGAATTCGTCATTGGAAAGTCGTACTGTGTTACTATCATTTTTATACGTCGAAAACTACTTCTGTGTAGCTGTAATCAGTGGGCACTTCATTGCAGAAGTGTTGGAAAATGAAAATTTCTGTATGCTGGTTAATTTAAAAATTTAACACTATTAAACAAATTTACTTTACCTTTTTATTATGTGCTCTGTTTGGATATGCCATAAAAGTGTACACATTTTTGGAACCTGTCCTTTTGGGGTCCCCAGAGAATGGATGCACATGCCTGATGGTACGCGGAAGGGCACAAGTGGCATTAGCCGTACTTCTTTACTAGGCAACCAGACCTTGCTACATCATAAAAACTGGCACAAGGATTATGTTTAAATGCTCTGCAATCAGTTTAAATGCAGTTTTATCAAAACTGTTCTGTCATATCCCAGCCCGGTATAAGAACCGACCAGTCTTGCGAGAAAAATAGGAAATGGCATTCGGTGGACGATTTCGCTGACTCAGTTGCATATTCACGCATGCGCAACTTTATCTATTTGATGGGTTACATCTTAAACACTGTTCCACAAGTGTGAACGGGTTTAGCAATTTTTATGCCATAAGATTATGACAATAATGGCAACTAGATCATCGCGTGAATGCTTCCGAATGATCAGTCTTCCACCGGACGGAAAATCACATGATGCTGTGTCAGATGAATGGGAAGACAATTTAAGGAACTTTTTCTTGCACTGCATCTCCGCTGAAAAATTTTGCACCAGTTTCCAGTTTGCAGAGCCATTATTTTTAACTTAAATGACTTGTGTTTATTAAATGCGAAGACATGACGGAAGACTGAAGTCGCATTTCGGTGTACTTGTTAGAGCATTGATTCGCAGACTTATGAACTCGCAATTCTCATTCCAGTAGCTTTTCATTTGCGGAAATATCTTTTCATTGAGTTACGTACATTAAGCAGGGACATATTCATAAAGCATCGCATTCAGGAAAACCACCAATGCTATATCTTATATTTATTGCAGTTGCAATGGCAAGTTGAACAACTTTCTGTACCCCAAAAAAGCTTATTAAACAGATATCTTACCATACTATTAGTAAGATAACGGTATTGTATATTACACTAACTGGTATATTGGTGAGTGAGAAAGAATAAAGAAGACAACAGTCATATTTTGGTAGCGTGCTCTGTAGTACATTCGTTTAAAGATTCAAACACCGCGATTTGAACTCCAGATAAACTTTATTTGCAAAAATTTCTTTTAACTGAATTACATAAAACTCAGTTACACTAAGGTGAAAGCACTGGTGCAACAACAAAATGAAAAAGGAAGAGCGGAAAAAAAAGTGTACTGGCTTAAATTGTCTCGGCAAAAAGGGTGCTAAACTGACACAAGATTATAGAAAAAAGTGTAAATTACAGGAAGATGAAACTCAATTCTTAAACTTGCGAATTGAGTTTTAGGAGAAGTTTGTATGGCTGACTGAATAAAGATTATTAAAATTGGTGTCTGACATTTGTCACTCACTGTCCTGTAGTTGCTAAAATCCTCCCATCCCGACAAAGAAATAACTGCTTTTATGCTTGTAATACAATTTAAAAATATGGGAAAATGTTATTTGCGAAAGGAGTGTCTTTTTCTTTGGAAAATGTCTGGGTATTATTTCCTTGAAATCATTTCGTCAAAAGTCAGGGTGTGGTCAAGGTTTGGCGATGTTTCGGGTAAGGAGAGCTTTTGGAGGATAATTTTCGGGGAATTTAGAATAGATCGTTCTTTAAAATGTTTATTTTTATGTTTTTATTTGTTAAAAATGACTTTGAACGTCAGTTCTCCTGATTCTTAAGAAAGTCTTAGAAAAGATAATTCTGATGATTAATTAGTCCAAAGGGGCTTTGTTCCTGAAGGACTATTGTTTTCGTTTTGCGATTTTGCGTTGAATCACTATAAATGTCCGTTTCACTTTTCAACTGTTGCCACTAAATGTTAGAGTCTTGCATTATATTTGAAGAAATTACTAAATAATGAAAAATCTGCATAAATCTATGTCTATTTCTTGCATTGTGATAAAATAACGGTACATAGAGCCACCCAATTTTGAAGGACGTAATCCTCCTTCGAATATGGACATGTGGAAGACCAAATTTGAAATTTGGAATTTGTTTTATTATCGATTTCATATTTTGTAAAACTTTGAATTTTTGAGTAACAAACTCAACGATTTAAAAGCGAGCAATGGCAACACTCTACGGCGGGGGGAAAAAAAAAACCTTTTTATCTCCAACGGGCGCGGAACTGTGTATCAGAAATTCTAAAGATATGCTCATTTTAAAATTATTTTGCGACATTGGTACTGAACTGAATTTTATGGTTTATTTATTTAAATATCATGTTCTTTGCACTTAAACCATGAAATTCAGTTCAATAGCAATGTTACAAAATAATTTTAAATTGAGCGTATCTTTAGAATTTCCGATACTCAGTCTCACGTACTCGAGATAAAAATATTTTTTCTGTACAACATTGTCATTGCTCGCTTTGAAATCCTTGAGTTTGTTAATCAAAAATTCGTTAAAGTTTTACAAAATATGAAATCGATAATAAAACAAATTCGAAATTTCAAATTTTTGCTTCCACATGCCCATATTTGCAGTAGGAATACGTCATTTAAAATTCGATGGCTCTATACCGTTGTTTTATCACAATGCGAGAAATATACATACATTTATGCAGATTTTTCATTATTTAATTTCTTCAAATATTCTAACTCTAACATTTGGTGGCAACAGTTTAATAAGTGAAACGGACATTTATACAACATAAAATCGCAAAACGAAAACAATAGTCCCTTTGGACTAAAGATTTTTAGAATAACTAACCTTCAGTGTAATGTTAGTTTTAAAGGAGAAGAACAAAATATTTAAGAAGATAACAACGCTTAGGTTTGACATTTCGGTTATACAATTTAATTTTAATTAAATAAATGTTTATTATATATTTGTGTTCATATTTGCATGATCATTTGAATAAGAGGGGGAGGGCTTCGATAACTGTAGGTCTGCCACGAACTACATCGTCTTAAATTTTTTTTTAAATTTCTTCAAGGACAAGCCCGCTTACTACGCCAAGTTATGTGTGACTGCATGTATCAAAAATAAAAGAAATACTATGGGATCATATGTTTTCAGCATTCTGAATTATTTCTTATACATGTTCGAAACTTGTTTCTTGTCAGGTATAATTAATTATCAGTAATGGCGTTGGTAGTGGTGGTAGTGGTGGTACATCCCTTTTACAAAGTTTCGCGAAAAAAAGTCTTGGTTGTATGGAAAAAATTAACCTTTTAGTTCTGCATTCATAACATGAAATATGCTTCATTCTGCACCATTGAAAATAACCTTTTACAAATGATGATTATTTTTACTGCATAATAAATTATTTCATGTGTTTTATTAAATTATAGTCTAGCTCTACTTTTGTTCTTTCCTTAAAATCATTTAGTCTTTTGTGAATTTGAATAATTTCTTTTGAAATACAGTGTAAAATAATTGTATGATTTAATCGCCTTCTGAGTATACTTGATGTAGTCAATCCTTCTTTTGACATTTGGAAAGTTATGTAACTTTTTTTTAAAACACCCTGAAATTTTATGTTCATATATTTTGATATAATTTTGGTCTATTTTAAAAAATATTCTGTAATTTTAATACAACCAATTACCTCAAAATTTATAAAATCAATCATTTTTTAGTAATTTTTAAGTCATTTTCAAGTATCTTGTAAAATAATTTTATGACTTATTAGTAATTTGAATATATTAGATAGAAGTCTGTCATCTAGTAGGAAATTCATTAACTGAATTAGAAAGCTGCGCTAAAATAAGGCATAAAATTGAAAGAAAAAGTTTCTTTTCACGGTGCAATAGTATTTTGATAGTTTTTAATGGGAAAATTATTATCCTCTTGTTACTGGAACGGGTTTATCTTCCCTAGAAGGCTGTGCAGTTATTCAAAATCCAACTAATCCATCATACCGTTCTGCATTCTGTTATTGCTGTCCACCTGCACGCGTAACCTTGGCCTGCTCATTCGCGTGGTTTTGTTTGTTTTTAGTATGTGTTTGTATCTGTGTGTGTGTTGTATATGCGATACCGCTTTGTGTTGCAGTGAATGTGCATTGTTTCTATGTCCTTGTTGTTACAGCTCGGGAAGTTTTCGCAGCACCAGCAGCCACGGCAGTAACACTGGCTCCAGACGGAGGAGGAGCTCACGGATGCTCAACAGATCAGGGTAAGTATCCAGTCTCTGCCGGCGTGCTTCCGTCTTACCGTATTCCTTATACCCTTCCTTGCATGTTGGAAATGAATTCACCGTTTCTGTGTGATGACTTTGTAATCCGTTCTTCTTGTATCAACGTTTACAAGCTGGTGTAATGCAGTAGCAATGTATTTATATGAACACAATATACAGTACACAATGCATTTTTAGAGGTTTTCCCATTGCAGATCAATGTATTGTGGAAAATTTTTCAGACCTAAGGAGGTTAGTTATTTTAATAAATGTATAACTTCTAATACAAAATAACTTAGATTTACTTATTTTGAACTCCTAACGGCTGTCCGCAAAAACTAAATGGTGAGTCATCGAAAGTGATCGGTGGTGAGTCTGCTTAGCTATCAAATCAAGGTAAAACTTAACGTAAACTGTATTAGCCAGGACTTGTGGGTGTACAAAATTAAAATGACATCAAAATGAAATCGATAATTTCTTATCAAAAGTTTAGAGCAAGAGGCTGATGTTGCTGTATGTTTATAATGTGATTACAGTAGTATCCTAACTCAAATCAACTACACACTGGGTTTGAAGTGGAAGCTGTCTTATTATGTATTCTTTCACAGCTCTGCAAGTGACTTTTCCGGCAAAACGGAAGAATCACGAACGAACTCTGAAGTTCACGATTAAGATTAGTCCTAATAATAAACTACGCCGCTTCACTTTTGCGCAATTTTTCAAGTATTTATATTAGGTAATGGCGAGGGCTGTTTAAGAGAAAGGATGCCCTCGGGGATAAAATTTCGATAAAAGTGTCTCTTGTATTTAGGTTACGCATGAGGAAAGCCACTATGCAGCCTTCCCTTTTTTCGGAATTTTTAATCCAAGTCGAACTACTAGTGCTTAGAGATGTTGCCGCTTGCCCTTATCGTGGGCTATCTCAGTAAACGAAGAACTGAAATATAATGACACGTTTTTGAAACTTTCTGTTGATAAATTTATTTTAAAAATAAGATCTCTGTAATAAAAAAATAGCCACCCTGATCGGTGTAATGGTTAGTGACACTCTCTGCCGAACCACTGGGCTCGGGCTCGAATCCCAGAGAAGGTTTGTAAGTGTATAATGTCTATGCGGCAGGAGGGTGTTTAAAAATACTCAACCGAAAGTCTTCTCTAGTGGCTATGTAATAGGAGAAGAGAGGGTAGAAGAACCGAATTGGTCAAGAAAAATCCTTCGAAAAATAGGCTTTTGAATTAAACAATGTAAAAAGGTCTGTATAAAAATATTCGCTATCCAAAAATATGACGATTATAGTATTCTTAAATTTACAATTTAATTAACTGAAGTATAGACACATGTGCGAAAGGACAAGGTAATGCAGAATAAGATATTCTAAATTAAGATGCAATTAATTGTTTAATTTGCTGTCCGCTACAAACAAGCGACCCTGCTTACGTCATTCGAGTTCCAGACTGAAAAATTTTTAGCTTTGGCACAGCTCCTTCTAAAAGACTGAAAAATGTTCCAGCGTTAGAACTGTAGAGCCGTTAGGGTATTTTGAAGCAAGAAACATGAAAAATGACCAATTCCCTCGCCGGGACTCGAACTTCGGACCTCTCGAATACGCGCCGAATGTGCTGACATTACATCACGAAGGCATGCTAAGAAGGCGGGAGAAATACCTTATATACTACCCCTTTCAAAGGGGTTCAAACTTTTTCATTGGAGATATGGGATCCAATCGCCAAATGCTGATGGTAGGGAATCATCATCCACCACCCTTTTTAGTTCGGGCGCCGTTGTAGAGTCATTAGGTTATTTTGAATAAGAAACATGAAAAGTGAGCAATACCCTCGCCGGGGCTGGAACCTCGGACCTCATGAATACACGCCGAGTGTGCTGACCATTACACCACGAAAGGCATGCTAAGAAGGCGGAGGAAATAATTTATAAAACAAATGGCAAAATTTTAAATTAATCTAACCGGAAACAAAGAGTCTTAAATTTGGTTTGCGCGACATAAGTTAGCAAATGAGAACTTTACTGTTTGATCAGCGTTAAATTGTGAATATAAATAATTAAAACATACTTGATCCTTAGCATTATTTTGGTTTCTGTTAGCACTTACAATTTTATGGTAATGAATGGCTTGAATAGTCTGAAGAATCGTTTACTTTTCTGATCTCAGACTAAAACTAATCTGAGTTTTTCAAATGTGAAACATTGAGCCCACCTGCCTCCTTTCCATCCTAGTCCAGTTATGGAAAGCGAAGTATCGTCAAAATGTCCTCGAAAACATCCATGGTTTCAGTTTTACGTATCAGAATGAAATAAGACAGACAATTTTATGCTTAACTTCAATTATTAAATATTCAGAAAATGCGATATGAATCTGTGAGGCTAAAAAGAGGAGAGCCCTGAATTTATACAAAGAAAGAATGCCATTTTTAGCTTGCGATTCAGTGTGTGATTTAACTGTCTATATGCAAATTAGTGAGTTGATTGTTATTAATAAACGGAGTAAACTTTTCAGAAACTGATCATCAATCAATGCTAAAAACATCCGTTTTGTGATTGCGTCGAATACGGCTATAAATGGCGTTCATTTTCGAGAACAGAAAAAACGATTCAATTTAGCCGCCATTTTTTAAGGTAGAATTCGCGACTGATTGTTGTATCTAAAATCGTGATGCGCCTGAGCGAAGCGCATAATAGGCAACTACTGCATTTTTTTATTTATTGCTTACGGTTCTTAGAATCTCAAAATATGAGCACGAGTTTGCCAATTTTGGCGCATATCGCTGTATTCATATATATCACATTTGCTGTTTTTTCTCTCAAATGCAACTAGCCAAATGCATCAGATGAGTGTGCGATGATTTGATTTTTCTGATCGCTGATCGATCGCTGTATTATGTATTGCCTACAGGCCGACAGATAAAGATTTGTGTGCCAAATGAGAGATTTAAATTGTGACGATGAAATACCACTCCAATTTCTTTTTAGATCCGCTTTTTGTCTTGATGAGTTCACTAGCGGACATAATCAGCACTTCGGTTTTCCATTCAGAAGTTGTTGTGTACGGGTTATGATATACGTTCATTCATTATATATATTTTTTTATCTCAACAACTGAGTTTCCGGATTTCCCGGTTACTCAAGATTGCTCTGTATAGGACCTTGATTTCATCATAGGATGGATAAAATTAGGCAAGAAAAACAACTTTAGATTGACATGAATTTTATGCAAAATTCTATAGATTAAGGAGATGATTGATGGCCGAGGAGATAAAACCGCTGAACACTGACAGTTAAACATGGATTCAAATTTAGGCAACTCGATTAGTTGTATTAGCTGTTTTTATGGTTTTACTCATATGTAACATCAATACGAGCCACCTTTCCCTTAGCACGCTTTGTCCAATGAATCCAGCTGAAGTCGACTGACGTAAGTTCATTTCCTTCAGTAGAGTATACACACACCAAAAAAAAGGGGGGAAGTATTAAGAAAAGAAAGAAAATCTGAAAGGTTACAGATTTTTAACATGGCACAAGAGGGTGTGATAAGGTCGCATAAAGGAAGAAGAAACTGAAGATTAGTTATGGACAAGGATGTCTCCAGAGCATAAGATGAATATTATTATTAAATAGATATAGGTTTTTCTCTTGTTGATGGTATGTATCCATTTTTTGGAGCGTTCAATAAAATTTTCATGCCATGTTCAATCATTAGAGTTTTCATTGGAGTTCAACACCACACCGTTGAAGCATTAACACTACACCACAAGGGTATGTTAAGATCTTTTATGGTGTCAATGAGTATCGCAAGCTGCCAATGTGCTCTTGGGCTCACTCCTGCTTAACACTTCTTTTAGCTTTATTATTAAGCTTTATTTTCTTTGCACTTACGCCTCATAAAATTCAAGAGCAAAATCACAAAATATTTAAAAACAGCATACCTTTAGAATTCCCGAATAGAGTGTTAGGAATTGCCATATTTTTTTTAATATTCGCTGTAGGAGTTCTTTAAGAACTCTCCGCCAAAAAGAATTATCCTAAAAAAAAAGAGAGAATTATATAATGATTTTAATAAGTCCAGCTAGTGCCATTTCATGAAAATATTTAATATTTCTAATTAGGCATTTAATGATTTAAATGCATTTTTTATTTAAGTAAATTAGATTAAAAAGTAGTTAATTTCTTTTTAAAAACTGCGTTTATTGCTTTTCAATCATTTCATTTCCTACTCAGTAACGGAAAGATTAACTTTGAAAGTTAAATATCTTACGCTTTACGGAATGGCAACATGCTTGTGCATGGAACTAATTAAGTGTTCTATTTGAGCCATTGGCAACACGCTGCTTTCAAATAGCCGAATTTCGGCGCGTTGGAGCAAAAATGTTTTATTTCGAACAGTATTGCCACTTCTCGCTTTCAAGTCGCTGAGTTTGTTAAGCAAAAATTCGTTAAATTTGTACAAAATAGGAAACAAATCAAAAACAAATTCGAAATTCAAAATGCAGGCTTCCAGATTCTCATGTTATAATTGAGGACTACGTGTATTAAAAAATTAGTAGCTCTGAATGGCGTCATTTTCCCACATTGCGAGGAACATATATACATACATGTAGATTATTCATTATTTATTTATAATACTTTGCAATAACATTTGGTAGTCACAGTTTAAAAATTGATTTGGAGAAAAACTGCGTTTGGAGACTAATAGTATCACAGGTGCTTTAAAAAAAAAAGTGAAGATAAAATCAGAGTTAAGGTAATTGAATGATAAAGTAATAAAAAGAATTGGATTGAAATTACTGCTATAACTAAAATAGGTAGATTTTTATGAATATGGAAGGCTTCAAAGAAGTTTAATTCTCCAAAAGTGAAGAAGGTGTTTGGGTACTTTTAGAATATTTGCAAAGATTGAGTTTATGTAGATGGTTGACGAGGGGCCTTTAAGTATTAAAAACTCTGAAAATGTAATGTGTTTCTTCGGTATATACAACACCTTATC